ATTGTTCGTTACATGTACCTTAACCTTTCCTGAAATCCCAAACAAAAATACTGTAGTTAACTAAAGTTTACTTTAATTAACTATAGTGATAACATTGACAATATGACAACTTTGTTTAATTAAAGTGATTACTTTGACACTTTGATTAAATATAGTGATACCTTTGACATTTGGAATCACAATGAAAACTTTGATTTACTTTAGTGATAAATTTGAAGACTATAATTTACTTAAGGTAGGATTCTTCTCACATTTTTTGTATTTGAAAATAAATGAAATTTTCACAGAATCAAGAGGACAATATCACTAAGTGATGGTATCAGTGAGATTAAATTTGGCTGTTAAATATTAGAGGCAGGGTCAAGGTCAAGGTCATTACCTTTTTCCTGGACATTAAGAATAAAAAATTACTGTTTCCAATTATGCGTTCTCTACTTGTAAATCAAAAGATTGAATGTTTCTCTTTTTTCATTAAAAGAGTCAAGCGTATAGGGCCCATAAGATGATATTACCAAACTGACATGGATAATTTAAATAAAATGGATATTTGTTGATCCGAATTTCCTCTACTTTTCTTAAATTATTAGGATTTATTAGGTTTTTAATATGCTTCCTATATTTAACTTTTTCTAATTTTCACATATAGTAAAGTTGTCACAAAGGTACATAATGATACAAAAACTTAAAGTTTTGATCGTTTACTAAGAGAGAAATAAAACTTTTTACGGATTTTTGGCTAAAATCTGTACCTAGATTTGAAGCATTTAAAAGCCAATATGGTTTAAGTATATGTGAAAAATTTAATTTATTTGATATATTTTGAAACTTTAGTCCCTTATTATAAATTTAACTTACATTTGAAAATTTCGTTTAGTCCTTGATTGCGTAAAAATTATAACTTAATTCAATGTTCTATAATAATTTTGAGAGGCAGAAAAGAAGATATTTTCATACGCAACCAATTTGCCAAAAATATAGTCCCTGCTAGTTTTCAAACGGAGTTTACCATTTCTATTTAAAGATGTATGATTGTGATGAGGAAAGGAAAATATGGTCTTTTAAATCTCTTACACCTAAATATATGACATATCAACAAATGTACTTTGATTATTTCATCTAGTCACAGAAGAATCCTACCTTATGTGATACATTTAACTATGAAAACTTTGATTTGCCATAGCGACCCTTTGAAAACTTCAACATACTATGGTAAAACATAGATTTACCATAGTGGTAGATTTAAAAAAAAATGATTTACTATCAAAATTGATTTACTATAGTGGTTATTTTGACAATAAAGTGAACAGTTTGACAACTTTGACTTATTATAGTGATCACTTTGACACTTTGCTTTACTATTGATAACTATAGTTAACGATACTAAACAATGGTTAACTATAGTGATTTTTAAGTGATAGCTAAACTCCAACCTAAGTAACAAGTTTCATCCATATCTCCAATTGTTTTATCCATCACCTTTACTTGCACTTTTAATGTTATACTTACCTTGCCGATAATGAAAATTAATTGAGTACTTGAAATCCTTCGACCATTTACATAAAGTATCCTTGATGGTAACTGTATTTGTCCTCTATATTTGTCCTGCGAAAATACACATGTAGAATGTATTTATAAAGATTAACAAGTACATGGTTGTACATGTATTGAAAATAGAGGTATTATTTAATATGTGTATGTGTGATTTAGACATTCGGAGAAGTACCAAGATAGTAATCTCAAAATGCTCATAAAATAATGTCATTATGAGATAAAGACATTAAAAATGATGGTAGTTATAATGTTTATTATCATAAGCTTTGAAATCACAGTTTGTATTACATGTAATAATCAATGCAAAAGGAAAAGACTTTAAAGATACATAAGAATTTTAGTTTTATTCATGTACTTCTTTAAAATAATATCCCTTTTGTTTTTAGATACATCACAATTTATTAAATGCATTTGTGTACATTTTATGACTTTACATACTGGTTCTGGGAAATTCTTTCCTTGAATGACGATTGTTTTATTTTGATCCTGTTCTACCAATAAGGGACCGGTCTGAATTGCGTCCACCATTGGACAAAAGTTCTTCCCTTGTCTACTTTCATTAGCCTTATTGAATAAATGAGAAAAAGTATTACCTCTGATTTCATTTTTCATATTGAACACATTCTTAGTGAAGAACAAACATCAAGGGTAAATTTTTAAAAGACAGCTGTGAGAGCAAGAAATGAAACATACCGCGTGAGTGCTGGAAAAATTGATTTAAAATTAATTACTAGTTGTCTATAATTTGAAAACGTTTGGATGATTTACACTTTAAAGAGACGACAACGAAACTCTTCCAGAAACAATGTATGTGATTTATAATAAAACAAAAGATCATTTGTGTATTTTTTGTATCAAAGAGTCAGGATAAAGTAAGGGTGGTGCATCAACATGGATTTAAGAGGTTGAAATCCCAGTTCGTTGATCAGGCTAGATACCTGATGGCTGATTAATCTTTTAATAGAGATATTGGAAATGTGAATAAAAATTCCTATAGGACTGCCTGTAACAGAATATAATGGAAAACAAGAGGTGTTTGTGAAACATTATGCAACCGGCGGCAACGATGTTCAAAAAAGTTATTTTTAGCATATAGACCTCAATCAAGGCTACAAGGTCATTATCCTTGCTGTTATTTTGAAGAAATTTATTAGAGACGTGAGTATACTGAATTTGAAGTCTCTATCTTTCATGGTTTAAAAAATATGGCAAAGGTTAATGTTGACAACAGAGAGACAGACAGACAAACATGTGCAAACAGACAGGACGAAACAATGCGTCCCAGGTCTATCGATTCTATAGCAGTTTTATCTAATTCAGTGCTGTTTTTAACAATGGAGGCACTTTTCTTTACTTCTTTGAATGTCTTGTAGAGAAGTATTGTTTAACGGAAATATCTATGTTGCAACCTGCCAGAGTCATGTTTTCTGGTCAAGCTCGATTAAGTCTGGATGATCCCAGCTTATAGGTCACTACCTATAGAAGTCTTCTTATTTGTAAAATATTTTAAGTGTTATTTGTAATAAACATTGAATAAAAGGAAATGTATACATGATGAATGATAAAAGAATCATAAAACCTGTAGTAAAATACATGTAAAACTTTTAATAAATTGTTTGTTTTAAGACTTACAACAAAGCAAAATGTCAATTAATACGCCCTTTATTATAAATATAATAATAACATTTTAACTCTTTAGCATAAAACTACATTCTACTTGCTTTTTGACTACTGACTTTCTCCCCAGAACACTGATCCGTGTTGTACTGACACTTGTTTTCTGTGATACACCAGTCACACCAGAAAATGTTGTTAACACATCTGGTACAACTGAAAGAAATACATTAATCTTAATTATCTACATGGAGTTATTACTTAAAATATATAACATATTCGGAAAAAAATTATATCAAAAATTGTTGATCACCTTGTAAAACTGCTGCAGTTGTAGAAAAGATAATGTGATGAAACAATCAATTTGTCTGTTTCAACAGACAAAATACCCAGGCTTACGTTGATATATCCTACAGAAAAGAAATTAGAAAAGAAATGCATTCTATTCTCGTAAGCAATAAAAATGTACAGAAAAAAAATTGAAAGTGTAATATTATGATATGGTATATTGTAACTTTATTAATATTTTGTAATTTGCATTCTGTCGGAATAAAACTGATTGGTTCTAAGTCTCTAATCTTTTAGATATAAAAAAATGAAATGTTGCAACTTCAATGCATTTTCTATCACGATCATTCTAACACAAAATAACTTCTGAACGAGATTCGTTTAAGTCGATGAAAATGAGTAGCAACAGTTCCTTCGCCATGAGGTCGACGCTTGAAAGGAAAAATTGCGGGTCCTTCGGACGAGACCTTAAAAACCTCTGTCCTATCAATGCATCTATTTCATAGTCCGAATGATATATTGCTGTTTTAATGAACAGTATGGTTTAATATATCTATTTTTATTATCTTCTCACCCAGGCTGCTGTTAAAACTGATTCTAAGATTTTCAACATTAGGATTCCTACACTCAGTACCAAAACTCCATTGAACAGCTGGGGATAATATCTGATTTCCGTTAGGAAGGCTAAACACACAGTTGTAGGTGATATTGTCATCTCGAGGCAGATTATTGATTGTTAGATTTAACTAAAAAAGTAAAACAAACTTATTTATATGAATAATAATCTTATAGAATAACTAAGGACGTTCTTCTTTTTTCTGGTCTGATAAACTCTGTAAGTATGGTTGTTTCTGTTATTTACTGTAAATTACATGAATATAATAAAATAATGAGCATTCGGGTAAAATACTCTAAATGTGTAATAACTTACTGAACAAAAATAAGAAATAAAATCCAGTTTTAAAGATTAAGGTAGATCGCGAGTTTACTGTCTGCCTGAAAACTTAAGTTAAATTTTTCAGCTTACTCCTCCTCTCGTTCTAAATCTTTCTTTCTGAATTTCTTTTAAGATTAGACTGCGTGGTTAGAATGTAATTGTAATTCAAATGCGCTGATTTTGATGAGAACAGGTGATGTTTTTTTTTCAATGAAATATATAGTAAAATGTCCCTTTTCTGCCGGTATACACATTTCAAAACCATAATCATTTCATGAAAACGAAGCAGAAGAATTTTATATTACTCGATACAGTGAATGTGAAATCAATTTAGAATCGATCATTAAAAAAATTAATATGTGTTCTCGCTCAGTTTCTTGCAAGAAAACTTTTAATTTTTACAAATTTTCATCAGAAGTATTATATTTTCATCACGACATTATATTACGTTTGTGCGACGTCATTATTTCGTATGCCTGCATGACTAAAAAATGAATTAATCAACAATTCATTAAAAAAAAAAGCATGCAGTCCGCGAATTCAATTTTCCAGTATAATCATTGCCATAGTTTACCAACAGCGTGGCACTGCTTCAATGACGTGTGCTTTCTTTTTCTCGCAATAAACCTTAGGCTAGGGGTGCAGAAAAATTATAACAAATGTACATGGATGTAAGGGAAAAAAATCTTACCGGATTTTGGAACATTTTGAAATGTACATGTAAATATTTTTTGCATTTTTTTTTTCTATTAATAAAACGTGCCCGATTTTAAATCGGAAATATTGTAACTGAATAAAAGTAGCTTTATGGCCTACATAATATACATTTATACGTCACAGAATGAATTAATGTTGTCTATCCCTGAATAAACAGACTTCAGTTTTCCCTTCAAAATGCCGCAAAGGTCATTTATTATCTTTTACTTTGCTGATATATAGAATGCTACAGATAGCATACAGTATACCATAGAAACAGGTATTAATACTGTAGAAAACATTACTAATATATGCTCGTGTTCTCTCGATTAAAACACCAAATCCCCCCTCCTTTTTACGCTTGTCAAGGAATTTTTGGTTCTTGATAGTACCCCCAACTGAAAATATATACGAGTAGCTGTGTTCCTAACTGAATTTGCTTCCTACGGACCTGCAACTCTTGTCTTGACGACCCCCCACTCAAAACACCAATTGCAGTTGTAAGCCGAAACACTATTGATTGTCAATAATAAAAGGGTCTGAGTAATTGATGACAATTTATGGGACGTACATATTTTTTTTGATGGTGTTACCTAAATTAATAACGTATCTCCTGTTGATAATTATCTAATTTACTCCCCATCCCTCCCCGCCGCCCAAAAAAGAAAAAAAAAACATCAGAAAGAGAAATTCATGTACAACTGGTATTTCATTAAGCATACTGACATACACATGTACCACATACTGTCCATTTCTTTCTTGTTTTAAAAATCTTATACCTGAACTTGTCTTATACAATATTGTTGCGCTTATAAATATTACCAAACTAGGCGTACATCATTACGAAGAAAATGAATACCTTGTATAATGAGTTAGAGATGATTGAAAAACAAATAAGAATAAAGTAGATTAGTATGAAGACTAAATTAAACTAACAACACAAAATTCATAAAAGTGAAAAAAAAATTAAACTCCAGGGCAGGCGTCAGACACACCGGCTGCGCATCTGTTTTTGCATAGTATCAATGTTACGTCTCCGAATCAACTATGTTGTAATGTCTCCGAATCAACTATGTACGAGTTAACTTTTTGTTTTGTTTATTAGGAGAGTTATTTCCCGTAGTTTGGCAAGCGCCATATTTTTACATGTGCAAAATTTGTTCCCACATTTTGTGACTTTGTAGCCCTATAGTGTAAGTACACATTCATTTGATATGATATTAAGATCTAAGAATCCATGTGTTAAAATGCAAATCTTGTAAAGTTAAATGTTTCAGCAATTTTAAGTATTAATTTTGCATCGTTCACATGACCCGGTTTTTTGTGTAAGGCTCAGCACGTGGTTTGTGTTCAAATCATTTTTCTGAGATTTATACTATCTAGTCACTGTATGTTATACTTGAGTATGTAAATTTATAGCGAGCGCAGCGAGCGTCGCGAAGCGACGCTCGTCACTGCGAGCTCTTAAAGCAACGCCTGTGCGAAGAGAAAATTCGGACTACTGCACATTCATTCGATGGAATTTTTTGACGCCGCAATTTCGACCCACAATGCAACACTTGTTAAGTTACGTTCTCGCGAGAATAACGGCAAATGTTCAACAAAAAGTTTACTCGCCTTGATTTAATGGATATATATTGAAGATAAATAGAAAACAAAACGTTCTTCATTAACTTTCAGCACTGTTCAGGCTTTTTCTCGGAATATTGCGACTTACATACGTCATGTGACGTCAGAGTCTAGACGCATCAAATGTCACGTGCGGTTTGACGAGCCCGATCTAAATCAAAAGAATATTTATAGAAGAGTTTGCGCTCGCTCTAACGGTCGCACCGTCAACATATTAGCGAGCGCAGCGAGCGTCGCGAAGCGACGCTCGTCACTGCGAGTTCTTAAAGCAACGCCTGTGCGAAGAGAAAATTCGGACTACTGCACATTCATTCGATAGAATTTTTTGATGCCGTAATTTGGACCCACAATGCATCACTTGTTTAAGCTACGTTAAAGCTACGTTCTCGTGAGAATAGTAGCAAAAGTTCTACTAAAAGTAAACATGCCCTGATTTAATGGATAAATATTGAAGATAAGTAGCAAACAAAACGTTCTTCATTTATTTTCAGCACTGTTCAGGGTTTTTTTGGGGGAAATGTAGCTTACATACGACGTCATGTGACGTCAGAGTCTAGACGCATCAAATGTCACGTGCAGTTTGACGAACGAGCCCGATTTAAATTCTAACAAAATGAACATCTGCGCTCGCCATAACGGTCGCACCGTCAACATATTGAAGCAGAAAGCTGTTTCCTATATGTTTATTATAGCGAAAGTTATCGCCCTTGTTATTATTAATTACTAATTATATACATAGAAAATAAATACTTAATTAGTGTTGAATTTGAATTAAAGTGATCAATAATAATCTTTGTATGTTACACTAGTTGGATTACTAAAGATTGGTTGATTGGAAGCTTGATTCGTGTTTTAATTACTTTGTAAATAAATATTCACTAAGTATTTTAGATGGTGTTAGGATATATAGGATTTTTACTGGCGAGGATTGCGAGAGCGGTTCTAGAGGTTAAACTCGACAAACCTGTGAAAGTACATGTAAGTGTGCGGACTTCCCTGCTTATATTGTACTGATTTTAGTAGTAAGTGTGCGGTCATCCCTGCTTATTACTTGACAGAGTGTGTGGTCATCCCTGCTCTGTGTATGGCATCTTTTAGCAGCAAGTGTGCGGACATCCCTGCTTGTTGCTGCGCAAGATAAGGTGTGTGGACATCCCTGCCTTCATCTTGTGGTAGAGCATTGGTGTGCGGACATCCCTGCCAGTGTCTCTAGACTAGAACCGTATTAGTGTCAAGTGTGTGGTCATCCCTGCTTGTCACTGCGCAAGGGCAAGTGTGCGGTCATCCCTGCTTGTCTCTTGTGGAAGTGCGCTGGTGTGTGGACTTCCCTGCCAGTGTCACTTGTTCGCTACCAGTAAAGACCTTATATAACGCAGTACCAAGTGATTAAGACTGCGCATTGTACATATTTGCAGCATCTCAAGGCTATCCGTTTTTATCACGGGTACGAGCCTGCGGGGGTTCACAGGCAGTGACCTCCCTTGCACGTTACAATATTAAGTATAATTTGTTGATTTCTTGCCGAGTTGTTACTGCCTTCTTGTGTTTAGTGTTTAGTAGTAGATCGCTGTTAAAAGTAAAAAAGCATGGAAACTCGGTTCGGTCATAAATGTTACATAAAATAGTCAACATTTTTTATCAGTCATTTTGTATGTAATTTCTAATAACTTTTTATGTAATTTACAGTCTTTTAATGCACCAATACTGAATATAGTCTAAAAGGAGATGAAGCCTTCTCAATAACTGTTCCAGTATAATCAATAACTAAGCAATAGTGTTTTAAAAAAGAACGTTCACACAACAAATATCTACAAACTACTTCTAATGTGAAAGACAACCTTGATCAAAACATTATTTATTCTTAATTACACACAAAAAAATATTTAAATACACAAAACACTTAAGGTCAACTTGTCCAAAAATTTATTTTTACAATAGCTCCAGAACTACGTGTACGTGGTTTATAAAGTTTCACTTTCACAGTTTATGAATATATTATTATTTAACAGACAGAAAGTATCCCTTGATAATTAATACGTTTAAAAAAATATTTATTGAGAAAAATTCCTTTAAAAATGCATATAATTTTTAGAAATACACCTAATTAATTCCATACTTTTAGTGAAAGACATCATTGTAGAAACAATACACGTTTTTCAACGCCTCTGGAAAGTTATTTTCCCTGTTTATTCTGTCCAAATGTGAAGATATGAAACCGAAATTAGACCATTTACGTCCAACTTGTCCTTCTTTGATAAACATGTATTATTTCTGCAATGATGGTTTTCACTAAATGTACAGAGTTACGCAGATGCATTTTTTTAAATGTGCAAATTTTTTATATATTTTTCTTTAAAAAATATTTATTTAAATATTTGTTATTAAGATATACTTTCTGTCTGTTAAACAATGATACATTTATAAAGTGTAAAAGTTTTAACTTTATACTTCACATTGTTTTGTAGCTATTGTAAAAATATTTTTGTTGATAAGATGTCGTTCGGTGAAACCTTAATATATATTTCACTTTTTAGTGCATATAGAACTGCTGAAGATTTTTTTGCTTTTTTATCTGAACACGGTAAGCTTTTTACTTGAAATCCTATTGTGACGTGAGCAAACCCGCGATCTACCATTACTTAATAATTACCTAAAGTTAACTCTACAGAAAAATATTAAAAAGATTAATGTCTAAGTAATAAATGCTGGAAAGAAGCAGAAAACGTCTCTGATCTGTTTGTTTGTATGTGTTTAACTTTCCTCTTGATAATTTTTCACTGATATGGAGACGCCAGCGCTAGAGAGATACAAATTTTGTCCTATACACGGCCCTAAAGGCCATTGAGCAGGGAGGGACCTTTTTGTGTCAGCACCTACGAGAGCTGCGACACGGAACCCGAATTTTACGGTCTCATCCAAAGGATCAGTCTCCATGTCTCACAGTGGGATTCGAGTAAGGATTGACTCCTTACTTTGTGACTCTAGAGCAGATGTTCTAACCACTGCGCCACGCGGGCAACACTAAATGTCTAATGGAATATCCTCCAAGGTAGGGCATGGTCTCCTGTGAGAGATATCCTCATAATTATTAGTTTCAAATCAACTATGATCATATTTTATAGAAATAAACTGTGTAATGCTACAAAAACACAAAACAAAGTAAAACTTAGTTTGCTGTACACAAAATATAAAATTTAGTTCTTACTGCGATGTTTTGGGAAACATGGAGCATTGGTGGGGAAACATTAAGTATTTCGAGACATCTGCTTTCCTGCTTTGGACCGTTCACCCATCGAATGTTTGTAGGGTTGTAGCAATTGCTTTTTAATGAGCATCTGAAGAAAGGAAAGAAATGACCATTTGTACATGTACATGTAATATATTATCGTTTATGAACATATTCGACTATATATAGGCTTCTCATGGCAAATACAAAAGTTTAAACTTTTATAAAGGAAACAGTTATAAAGGAAAAGATCTCCAGATGCAACATGTTGTGCACATTTCATTAAAATAGCAGAAAATCAAATACTGTATAGGGGATTAATGTCATGGGTTGTAATTTTCATGGTTTTCTTTCATCGGACACGATCGCGGTTTCTTGAATTCGCGGAAGTCTTATGTTATAGGAGTTACCTCCCTTGTCTATATCTGTTTAACCCATAGCTACATGTAAACGACATTCATCATTGTTATGTCTGTATTTCAGGAACAACAGGGTAGGTTAATATAAAATAGTTAAACTTCATAAATAATTGACGATTAATTAAAACAGGTGCATTGGTCAAAAGTCCTTGACTATAAGCGTCAAATAACTGTCCATTACGATGAGTGCATGTACACCCCAAGATCTTCAAAACATCGCGGCAAAAAACCCCTGGACGGTAATAAATTTGTAAATGTAGGTCGGTGAAATAATATCCTTCCAAATCTTCAGAAAGTTCCATTGTTATTTGAATGATTTTTTTAAAATCAAAATGTCGATAAAAACTATAATATGCATGATAATGCAGGTAATGCAAACACCGTGCGTGGTAACATTAGTTACGCACGGATAATCAAAACTCGTGTCCCACGTGTTTTGATTGATGAAACATGTAGCGTTGGCTATTAAAATGCCTTGTAATAAATACAGGTTATTATCTGTTGACTTGAATTAATGTAAAGCGTGCTAATTAAAATAATTGAATGACAAGTACTACTCGTAATTACTGAAATGACCATGTACTGTTGTACATGTATTCAAACCTATCGTAGTCTATTCTCAAACTTCCAAATACAACATGGAGATATTGAAAAATTATTCACTGTTTCTTGAATTCATGGATTTATGGTCACCGTGAATATAGCGAATATTAACAACGCGAGTTATTTATCCCCTATACAGTACTTTTATACAGACCTGTGTCCTAGGACACACCATCCACAATATGGGTCATTACTTAACAGACAATCTCTACATGTGGTGTAGCGGGAACAATTCTGCACCGGAATCTTGGCCACCTGAAAATAATTTACTGTTCCCCTTTTTTTCAGATTAAAAATAAATTGCTGAGTATATTATACGTGTACATGCAGTACTTTGTTATTATGAAATTCATTTTGTTTAAATGGTATCTGATTGTGGACATGCACTGTTTACCTTGCACAAGAAATGCATTTTTAAAATAAGGACTGTTTTCCCATGAAGATTGTAATTTATTTCAATACAAGTTTCTGAAGCTTATATATTTTTCTGCATGTCGCGTTAAGTACATAACTTCCTTGTAATTATGTAATGAAAGCTAATTGCTGTAAATCAGTAACCCGTTTTCACCTTTCTGTCACTCATGGCGAAAAGATACATCTGAGAATCATCAAACACCATATCCTGCTTTATAGTATGGCCCTGGTCCACTACAAAGGCGGAATCGTACAGCTCTGCATTGATGGACGTTTTAAGAACCACCTACCAAAAGTTAAAAGAAAAGGTAACCTGAAGCAATGATCACAATCGGATGTATGAGAAATAATTGATAGATTCGTTTTTTGGTCTTTTCGTTGTGTTCACATAAGATTTCTCATCGGGCACTGACATCGATTGTGTTTAAGAATGAATTGTGGAATTCAGTCGAGATTGTACAATGTCAAGAATCTGGAGAGAGAGACATTCATTTCTCTAGATATTTATTATGATGTATGTTAGGATATTTTCTATGAAAGACGTTTTAAGAGATTTTTCTCAAGTTTTCTATCAATTACTTCAAAAAGACTTTGAAATTCACATCAATAAAAAATGACTCGTACGTAGTTCATGCACGCTTGTATTTGGGCAAAAAATTTAAACACAGCTTATCTAAATTTCCTGCAACATAATTTTTTGCATTCGATTTTTGCTCAATCTGTTCTCATTTTAAATCTGCTTACTTTACAAATTAGAAAAGAGTCAATAACGTATAATTGTCCGCTCATTTTGTTAGTTTATGTTTTACCTGTTTTTGTAAAATAAAGTTCATTGATAAATCAGAAAAGCTACAATAAAAATATATTTCTATAATTATTTGAGTTCAAAACAGAACTATACTGCAACGTCACCATGTAACCTCTATGAAGAGAGAAATATGCATTAATATTTTTATTTTTAGAGAGTAAATTTCAAGTTTGCATTTGTTTACGAATAAAAAAAACCACCAAAGAAGAGTGTGCAACCAAAGCATTATCAAACAAAGTTATCGTTTGCAAAACAATAAATACTCTGTTAGCTATTAAAATAAGAAGACACTTTACACTACATCAATAGTTAAATTTGAAAAATGAATAAATTTCAGACATCTGTATTGCAAATTTTCAAGTAGCATATTTTTGTCTATATTTTTAAAACGAATTATGCTGAAAAAAGTGTTCAATTGTTCGGTTAACTTAAATGTGTGTTACCTTTCTGATATGCCCATTTGAAGTGCCAAGGAAAGCTACAGTGTGTTCTCCTGTGATAGTGACAGCCAAAGATTCCGGGTTGTTTTCTGTTGCTGGAAACTGTATAACCGGGGCAGAAACTACTGGAGTTTTCCCATCAATTATCAAATTCAGAGAACTTGAGCATAGCAACTCAGAATCAGTAAATGAAGACTAAAATTTAAAACAAACAGCATTAAAATAAAAGACGCTTCAGAGTCTGCTTCATTTGTTTTATATCTATATTTTACTGACTACAAATGATTCCTAAGGATGACGTTTATTCAGGTTTCAGAAAACAGACAGAAAATTTTCTAAAGTATAGTATGTTAAATCAAAAATTGTTCTTAATGTATAAAATAACCAATGTTTAACACGGTATCAGCTTTATAATTTCATATTTTATTATTTCAAGAATATATAAAGGAAGAAAAGCCAATATATAGTAATGCGGACTAAATCTTCAATTTTTCATTTTTTTTTTCATTTTTTTTTTTCATTTTTTTTTATTTCTAGCAATATTACTCACAATGTAATGATTAAATGTATTTTTAAAAATCATTTTGCAAATATTACATGTATTGAAGCTCATAAATTATTTTAAATAATTGAATGCTATGAAAGAAAGAAATTCAAAAATAATCAAAACCATTCCAGGCAACAAATCTCAATAATTTTCTGTTGGACTGTAATAATTATTAAGTTTATGGCCCAAACTCTAATCGTTTCTTTATTTGAAGCAACGCTTTTTCATTAATACTTCAATATTTCGTTATTAAACGAGTGTTGTTGCTAATAATATTTATGAGTGGAGTGTTGGATTTGATTGCATATTGTTTTAACGTCCCTCTCGAGAATGTTTCACTAATATTGAGACGTCACCGTATGCTGGTAAAGGACTTCAAATGTTGATCCTTACTCGGCACTCAGGGCTTATCTTTCAATTAAATTGAATGAAAAATATTTTTTTGAAAAAAAATGTTTAAAACTGTTTAAATTATCAAGGTACGAATGGCTATTTTCATTTATATTTTTTTTTAGATATTTCATATGCTTTCTATGACAAGTACCCCTGAAAATAACTGAATATGTGTTGTCACAGTAGGTTATTTCTATTCACAGGCTGTAGTACATTTGATAACAAGAAAACATGATATGAGCTTTAAACAAATTGTAAAATGAATGCTAATTTATCATTTTGAAAAGTTTGAAAACAACCTTTGACAAAGATTTTTTTCGACATAGGTTTTTACCCTAAAGAATTTTCAGTGAACAATATATATTAGTTGTGTAGGACGTTATATGCATTGATTTTGTTTTAAATCTGCAATTTTTTATCAATCCCAGTCATAAAGTAGAAAACATTCAAATAATAAATAAAATTCTCGTATTCCTGACGTTTCTGACATTGATGACTGACAGATGAGCTGCACCTAGTCGTAATGCTCTATATGCAAAGTTATATATTATCGAATTTATGGTTTATAACTATTAGTATTTATAATCTTTTCAGAAGAAATAATTATTATTGTCAAAAATAATGAAAATTATACATGCATATATATATATATATATATATATATATATATATATATATATATATATATATATATATATATATATAAAGCACTAAAAATGACCAACGACACGAACAATAAAAATTGTCAAATTTTTGGGACGCCCTGTCCCTTCCTCAGGACAAAGAAAAAAGTTAAAAAGTCATAAGAACAAAGGAAAAAGAGAAAAAAAACAACTAGCACTACTACTAAACTACTAAACACTAGATATTTACATACTTAATAATTACATGATGAATTGGAAATTTTTAAGAACACTAATAAAGAAAGAAATCCGGACCGCTATGAAATGCGTCCGGTCTATCGGGTATACTCGGGTGAAGTGCGATTTACATAATTGAACGAATTAATTATGCTAATTAATTGCGACAATCAGTAAATCGTACATTGTTTCATTCTCTCAAAATGGCGTAACTTTACTTAATAAAGAATAATTGAAGAAAAATAATATAGCAGGGATATTAAAACATATGAATTATGATCAATATAAATTTTGAAATATTTAAGGACTTATTACCGGGAAAAAATAATTAACAAAAGTGTAAGCAATACATAGTTATGAGAGTTGTTCGAGAGTTGGTGACGCAAATTAACTGTAGAGTTTACACTAAATTGAGAGAATAATCTTGTTTAGTATCATCAGGAATTGGGTCTAGTTTACGTTCATTCTGGTGAAGTCATTCAGTTTGTTAATACCATTAGGGCGGAATGACTTCAATCTGTGCATCCAGAACTTTTCTTTGCTTTTTCTCTGAGCATCTGTCCATCTTGGGTTATGGTCAATCACCACTACTGTCATGTCCTCCCATTTGTGACCCTCAAGGTTGAAATGTTCCCCAACGGGTTCATTGAGTTTTGGTCCTAATAGTCGAACGGTGGTTATTGACTCTCCTGCGGAGATCTCCTGTTTCACCAATATACTGTTTGGAGCAAACTTTGCAACTGATGAGATAAATGCAGTTGTCAGTATGACAGGACAAACTCCCTAGTATTTTGTAGCTGCGGCCTGTAACAGGGCTGTTAAAACTGTCTGTGTCAGTGCTGTGCTTACAAAGAAGGCATCTTCTGTCAGAGCAAGTTTTAAAGCCCCCGTTAGGTAATGGGTTGTCCAGTCTGGTTCTTACTACCATGTCCTTTAGGTTCCTTGGGCGTCTGTATGCAGCCAATGGGGGTTCCTTAAAGACCTCTGCCATTCGTTTGTTTGAATGGAGAATTGGTAGGTTCTTTTGAAGGATACCGCTAAGGTTCTTAAGGACGGGATGGTATGTGGTCACCAGAGGGACCCTGCCGCTATTGTCTTTCTCCTTGTAGCGTAATAGGTTTTGCCTGTATTCCTAGATACTACATCTACCCTGATTGATGGTGAAATCGAATTCAGTCTCCACACCAAACCCACAGACTCCCACCTATACCTTATGCCCTCTAGCTGTCATCCCCCACACACTTTTAAGGGAGTGCCTAAGGGTCTAGCCACCAGAATTCGACGCATCTGTTCGTCCCCTGCCTTATATCAGGAGCAAAGTGGTCTTCTTAAGTCCCACTTATGCAAAAGAGGCTACAATGCCCGCACCGTACAAACAGCTATTGATGAGATGGCGGGACATGACAGGCAAAACCTATTACGCTACAAGGAGAAAGACAATAGCGGCAGGGTCCCTCTGGTGACCACATACCATCCCGTCCTTAAGAACCTTAGCGGTATCCTTCAAAAGAACCTACCAATTCTCCATTCAAACAAACGAATGGCAGAGGTCTTTAAGGAACCCCCATTGGCTGCATACAGACGCCCAAGGAACCTAAAGGACATGGTAGTAAGAACCAGACTGGACAACCCATTACCTAACGGGGGCTTTAAAACTTGCTCTGACAGAAGATGCCTTCTTTGTAAGCACAGCACTGACACAGACAGTTTTAACAGCCCTGTTATAGGCCGCAGCTACAAAATACTAGGGAGTTTGTCCTGTCATACTGACAACTGCATTTATCTCATCAGTTGCAAAGTTTGCTCCAAACAGTATATTGGTGAAACAGGAGATCTCCGCAGGAGAGTCAATAACCACCGTTCGACTAATAGGACCAAAAAACTCAATGAACCCGTTGGGGAACATTTCAACCTTGAGGGTCACAAATGGGAGGACATGACAGTAGTGGTGATTGACCATAACCCAAGATGGACAGATGCTCAGAGAAAAAGCAAAGAAAAGTTCTGGATGCACAGATTGAAGTCATTCCGCCCTAATGGTATTAACAAACTGAATGACTTCACCAGAATGAACGTAAACTAGACCCAATTCCTGATGATACTAAACAAGATTATTCTCTCAATTTAGTGTAAACTCTACAGTTAATTTGCGTCACCAACTCTCGAACAACTCTCATAACTATGTATTGTTTACACTTTTGTTAATTATTTTTTCCCGGTAATAAGTCCTTAAATATTTCAAAATTTATATTGATCATAATTCATATGTTTTAATATCCCTGCTATATTATTTTTCTTCAATTATTTTTTATTAAGTAAAGTTACGCCATTTTGAGAGAATGAAACAATGTACGATTTACTGATTGTCGCAATTAATTAACATAATTAATTCGTTCAATTATGTAAATCGCACTTCACCCGAGTATACCCGATAGACCGGACGCATTTCATAGCGGTCCGGATTTCTTTCTTTATTAGTGTTCTTAAAAATTTCCAATTCATCATGTAATTATTAAGTATGTAAATATCTAGTGTTTAGTAGTTTAGTAGTAGTGCTAGTTGTTTTTGTTTCCCTTTTTCCTTTGTTCTTATGACTTTTTAACTTTTTTCTTTGTCCTGAGGAAGGGACAGGGCGTCCCGAAAATTTGACAATTTTTATTGTTCGTGTCGTTGGTCATTTTTAGTGCTTTATATAAATTTCCATCCGTGACCTTGTATCTACTTGGTAGATCCGACATTTAGGATATACAGTGTTGTTGGTTTTTTAGTGCTTTATATATATATATATATATATATATATATATATATATATATATGTATATATATATATATATATATATATATATATATATATATATATATATATATATATATATATATATATATATATATATATATATATATATATATATATATACGAACGAGAGTTGTCCAAGAAGTTCATGGACACACGCCTAATTTTCTTAATAGAGTCCGCAATGGCAAATCTGTTCTGTAATATCTTATATTGACCATGATTTAGTAAATATGCAAAAATTAAAACAAATGAATGTACACAATATTATGAACATTAAAGATGTGAATACGTTATATATGCAAGCCTCATATGGGCCAGTTTAATGTAAAGCAAATTCGTGATAAGATTTTCATAAACGAAATCTCATTGGGTTTAAATGAATGTTGATTAGGACCACGACATCCAAAAATATGAATTCAATGCTTAAATACCAATGTGCTCTCAGAGAAAGGAAAGTGTTAAGACCAGATCTTGTGAAATGTTTAAAGGATACTTACCACAGCGTTTTCTTTTTTCCACACGTTATATTTTTATCATAACAACAATGAAATAAATAAATGAAATGCCTTATCTCACCAATAGAATGGATAAGGAATTTTTTCCACAGTGTACACATAACCAGACTCATCTGTCTTGAGTGGGTCAAATGTACATCATGCGTGTATTTTTGTTTGTAATATTTGATCTATTAAAAGTCCAAAATAAATGTAACTGATCATACCATGCTTTTTATATATAAAAAAAAACATAATACGAGGATTATTTGAAAAGTTTGTGAACTTCTGTCATGTGTTTTTTGACGTCATATGTTATCGAAATTTGGTAGAAATATTAAGGCAAAAAATCGAAATGATTTGTAATGACATGTTTTTAAAATATCACGATTTATTAAATATTATCCAGATTTCAGACATGCAAATTTCGGATTGCGGAGCAGATCAAACTTTAGTTAGTTACAAACAATACTCTAAATAATGTCTGTAGTAATATTCACTGAAAGATGGAGTAAAAACGAAAAACAACATGTAAATTCAAATTTAGTATTGGAACATCGATTCGTATTCTAAATCATGGCTTAATATTTTGATTTGTTGATAAAGATATCATTTTGAGAAGATAGTAAGTCCTCATTGAAAACAATAAAATCGATGACGTTTTAGAACGTCATGGAGCAGCAGAAAACGATGCAATTTTTGTTTTACTCAGAAAAAATCCCGAATTAACTCTAAATATGTTGGAGGATTCAAGAAAGCATGTTACAAGCGAGTCGTTAATGTGTGTACAAATAGTAAATTCAGTGTTTGAGTAGCAGAGACTCTTTATCGAATGAGGACAATCTGTAAAGAGACGGTTTGACTCCAAAATTTTGAACAAAAATGTTTGGATGTTAAGGTTAAGGAAAGACATATGCGCTTCATATGTTTATCTTGTGAAAGCAGGATTAAGTAATAAAATAAATTACAGCCTTAATAAAGGATATCATACAACGAGAGTCCCAGTCAGCATTCATATATTGGCCCAACGTTGGTAGAGTAACGGTCTGTTGGGTCAAGGTTGGTGTTGGTATAACATGATTGGGCCAACATTGGGCCAATGTTGATATTATGCTCTTCGTGGCAATATCAGCATATGTCAGTTATTCGTTGTTGGGCCAATGTTGGCCCAATGTATCTTAATCTCACATAAGTTGTCGTGATAACATACATTGGTTTTACATTGTTGAGCCAACATTGGCCCAATGTATGTAATTTTCACAGAAATTACTATCTTAAACATTGGTTTTGTATCGTTGGACTTACGTTGGCCCAATATTGAATACAAAACATAATGAACATATGCAGGTGTACAACGATTGGGCCAGCGTTGGCAAGACAGCGTTGGCACAATGTTTCAAACTTAGCATAAAATGGTTGGTCTCGTGTAGTTGGACCATTATTGGCCCAATGCAAATTTTTATCAAAGATATATTGCAACAGCTGGGAGGATAATTTTACTGAAAGGTTTATCATTTATGAGTATGTAACGCTACTCATGTGTAACTGAATCAGTATACAACTATACATTAAATGTATCCTATAATTAGTTAATAACATTAATTTTGTTATCTGGCTTTATCTCTGAGTGCTTTTAGTTGGACCAAATTTGGCCCCACTTTGTCAAATGTGTACTGCATAAATCATGAAAATATGTGTTTTTTAATTTCTTGATTAAATGTTGTTGTATTAATGGTAAAAATTTCATTTCCTTAACAGACACTAGTTAATCAGGTACATATCTGTATATTTTTATGCCAAGGTAGTAGGCTAACACAGCTGGTCCAACGTTGGCCCAACGTTTATATCAAGCTCGTGTTAAATACTATACCCAACGATTTTCTCTTTCTCTCCCTGTATCATGCACACATATATATCATAATGTTCTGTAATTTTGATATTAAATAAATCTTCATGGGTTTCATTAGATATCATTAACGTAATATATATCATATTGGGGGGAAAATACATATGCATGCATATCTTGGCTATATGCACGAGTTTATATTGTTGCAAATTAAAAAAAAAACTGTTTCCCTTGTGAAAGCCAAAAAGTAATACTGCATACAAACGTATCAATTTAAGAATTTTAAAAGAAATTCTTGGATGTGGGTCCAGAACATTGTAGAAGACACATTAAGTGTAAAGCAAATGTAGCATTGCAGCTGTACGTGCCATTCCACTCTTTGAAAGATGTAACTCCCAGGCGGGCAATAAATTAAGTTTTTGAGTTAAATAGAGGTCAGCTTTCCTCGCGCGCAAGATGTAGAGAACAAAGACAAAGGACTGAATTTTGTTTGAGGATAGACGCAGTTAAAGCAAAATGTGAGTATTTCTGATTTTCTTTTTGTGCATAAGTATTTTAAAACGAATTTTTCTATCAATGATCGTAACACAGTGGAACAAATTTTGATCTACAATGTAACAAATCCGATCTGTACATGTATGCATATTCTTGTCTCATTATATGTTATTTTTGGTTTAAATTTTTGTATGTGGGATAAATCTAAACCCTTGTCCTTTAAAATAGAAATGAGTAAAATATATACACTGTATATATAATAATTAACTCATTAAAACGCTCCATTTTTGCACATGCATGGGGGAACAGGGAGAGGGGGCGATCCTTGTTGATAGAGACACGTACATATACATGTATGTACATGTATAATCTTTATAAGTGATATCATTATCATGTAAATCTATTTCCTTGTCTACAAGCTTTGAATTATGGTGCTATAAACACTATAATATTAGTTCCCTTAGACCAGTATTCTGTTCTTTCAATAAGGTCTCAGACAAAAAAGTCCTAAAAAATTGTGCAGCGATCTCGGGTCTTTCCGATACTTACAGCCGGAAATGTCCAAGTATGTTTGATTCCTAAATACATTTATAATTTCTTATTTCTGTGTACGATACATTTTTAATTTTGTAAATAATTTAATAATACAAAACAAAGTGTACGGAGAATTATGATTTCTATGATAGACATCGGTGTTGCAAAGAAAATGAATTGGCAAGGGAGGGATGATAATTAAGAGAGCATTTTCCTTTTTCTCATTGAAAGATGTGTTGCTGTGTGAGTATTTTTTTTTACATATCTTTAAAATATTATTTTATAATCCCAAGATATACTGATCTTGGTTTGTTTGTTTGTATGTGTGTGAATTTACATCTAACAGTCAAATTTAGTTAAACATGAAAAATATGTCTAATTGTCAAAGATCAGACATGTGTCAAGGGTAATGCATCAAAGTCACATTAATTTATTGAACTAAGATTAAAAAATTTTCCTACTTTTGACATAATGTTTAACAAATATCTTGTCATGAAAATGATTGCTAGTAAAGTAAACCAAAAACACATTTGTATTTTAATTTGTACATTAGTTTATCTAAGTTTGTGTAATATAATGTTTAGAATATTTTAATCCAACATAAATTGTGTAATTACCTGTAAATACCGAAACAATATTTTAACAATAAGGCAGATCACTCTAGTGACATAAAATTACCCTACAAGATAGATCTCTGTAGTGTGCAGTTTTAAGTAATTAAAAAACAATTTTTTTTTCACATAACAAATAAAATCACAGTATCTTATTTTGACAGTAATTGTGAGAAATTAAGAATGGATGTTGCAAAGATGCAAAAGACAAAGATATCAAAGATGCTGAAAATTACTTCATGGTTTACGATACTCTTGCGATAGGGATGGTGGTAGGAAGGAGAGGAAATAAAAAACGGCAGCAGAATAAAAGGAGACCAACCGATGAATGGCCTTGAAATGACTTTGAATTTTTTGGTATCTGGTGAATTATCATTATAACCCTTTAACTTTAATTTAGTTTTTAATTTTAATTTTTGATTTAGTGTTTTTAATTCATGTAAATGATTTAATTAGTAAACCGTATCAAATTATCTTATTCTTGTTATTTCTCCAAATTATTGGAAATTAAAAATACGAGTCATTGGTTGAGAACACTGGGTCAACGTAAAACAAACTCTGGGCCAACGTAAAAAGACGCTGAGCAAATGTGAAAATAACACCGGGCCAACATCAGAGAAACAATGGGTCGATGTAAGAGAAACGCTGGGCCGATGTAAAAGAAACTCTAATCTAACGTAAAATACACATTGGGCCAACGTAAAAGACATACTGGGCCAACATAAGTCCAATATTGTAGTCTAGTACGTAGGCCCAACATATATCCAAGGTTGGACCAACATCCATGCAATCGGCGTCTAATGTTGGGGCAACGTAAAGCCAATACGTTGGCCCGACATGAGCCCACTTTGCACTTAAACATTGAACCAACATTGGTATGCAACGTTGGGCCAACAAAATGAATATTGTTGGCATTACATTGGGCCAACATATTGATGCTGACTGGGGTAATTGTTAAAAAATAAATTTCAAGTATTGAAAAAGCGATTTAATGAGTGGGCTATGGATTATACTGTCTGAATTGGGCTAGTATTTTTTTTTTTTTTTTTTTAGAAATTCTTGACGCTATGTTTTGATATTACATTGCAGTTAAGTGATCTTCGCGGGTACAAAACCTGTTGATTTTAAAATAAAGCAAATTGATTTCTATTAAATCGAATGTTACGAAATTTCACACATCAACAAAAAAAATTGATATTATTACATATTACATATTGCTTTTTTTTTTAATTTAAAGTGAGTAAAATAACAAAGATTTACATCGTCCACGAACTTTTTGAACAACCCTCGTACAATGAATTGCGATGATCCATTAAAATACTTTGTTTCAAGTTACCTGATAATTAAGATTTCTAAACCAATTTGCAGTTTAAGGTTAAGATTAACAACTCGCTTTGTATCGAGAAATAAAGTACTTGATAAGTGTCTTTTAGAGATATCAGAATTAGTACCTTTTATGCACATTTATTTTAGTAGAAATTATCTTCAATAGCAAAATTTAAAGGGAACTTTAGCAAATGAATTTGAATAGGGGTGTAAACAAAAAATCAATGAGCAAATGAGAACAATATTGACAACTTTTTATGAAGAAAAAAAATCTTTCTTTTGTCCTTACCGTATCTACTTTTGTACATTTTAATCCATATTTGTACTTTAAATTAGCTGCATATTCTGTGCTTCCATTAAGACACGTCTTTATATTACTAAGAACTTTCTTTTTGACTTCTGGCATACTAAACAGACATATAGCTGAACTGTTGTCTACACTGTGACTGAACAGTCCGATTATGACATCATCTTCTGACGTCAGGTAAGGCAACTGTTCCTGTAGTGATTTCATTAAGCTCAGACCAGGTTTAAATATCTTTGCGGCCTTCAGTATGTTGAAAGTCTTACTTTTTGATTTGCAAGTTAATGGTATTTCCAGAAAGGTTTTTAATAGGTCATCCTTCCTACACATATGAACAATTTTGGAGTAGTGTGTTCTATCATCCGGACTCTTTTCATTGAATAAAATGTAGCTATAATTTCCTGAAGCGAATCCCTGTACATATGATATCAATCCGGGTTTCATATATTTGTTTTCAGTTTCATAAGCAATTTTTCCACGAAGTGAAAAGTCAGAAAGTCTAGTGCTAACAAGGGGATGGGATCGTCTAAGATTAAATTCTAATGAGTTTTTTGACTTGTCAAACTTTGAAAACTCGTTTGCAACATAAATCATTGTTTCCATTTCTTTTGTTGCACTATTTAGAATTTGTGTTATGAATGCATTTGTGTTTACGTCATTTTCATTGGACGCCACAGAAGTATTTCCAGTAAAAGTTACTTCGCTGATGTTTTTGACGTTTCTCATTTCACATTTTCCTTGGAATAAACTTCCACATATCACAAGCTCATTGGAATGAAGCAAAAGAATTTTATTGTGGTTGTCCATGGGTGATGCGTCAACCCAGGCAGCGCAACTGTACATTGTAAGTCCACATTTCTGCGAGTCATTTTGAGGACCTGTGATAATCTTATTTTCCAAGTCCAGATCAAGGTCGAATTGGTATAGAGCATTTGTAGCTCCAATGAATAAGCTTTGATTGTTGAGAACCATATGACTTAGACTTCCGCTCTCATCCTCTGTGGTCAGTTGGAAAATATTGAAGGAACTGTAGCCACTCCACATTACACAGAAGAGGAACCACTGGTTCATGCTTCACATGTATTTAGCTTCCTTGTGTCTAAAACGAAACAAAAACACTAAATTGATTTAATTTGTAAAGCATCCTGTATACATGTAACTAGTAGATCAAAGAAAGAGAAACGTGTTGTAAATGCGTTACATTAAGAGGTGTATTTAATTTTGGCAGACAGACTGCTAAAGTCTGCTAAATCAAATACATCGCTAAATGTCTTGAATATCCATACTTTTTACCAAACACATTCAAATAGCGCTTAATCAAATTTTCGCTTACATGATGAAAAATTAAATTCCGCAAAATATTGTACACATGGAATGTAATACATTTACAGTATCGCTTGGATTCGATATTTTATGACAGCTATGCATAGAATATCGATTCTTATTTCAGTCTTCTGTAAAGGCAAGAAGAATTGAAATCAGATTAAAATTTCTAAAGAGTAGTCGTTTAAAGAAATTTACAGAAATTTTATTAAAGAAACCATTAAAACGGGTAAATTATCAAAAAATGAAAAAAAAAATTAATACGAGGGTTGTCAAAAATGTTGCAGACTGAAGCTTTAAAATTAGTAATACGTAGAATTTACTATAGAAATTCATAAGGAATAAAAAACAGTACAAAATAAAGAAATAAAAAAAAATTAGCTTACTACGAACATTATTTGCCAAATTATTACATAATATAAACGACATTATATGATCACGTGGCACCGTCGATGTCTAGTTTCATGACGTCCGACAATGTCATTGTTTTTCAATTTCCGCTTTTTCCACCTCTATCACTTATCTTGATGAGATTCCCTGGAGCTGAGTTAGGACTTAAACTCGTCTTCTTTAGATGACTTTACAATGTCATGAACAGAGGTAGGTTTTCAATGCACATAATATTCCAATTGGATTTATAAATGTGAGAGATCCTTTGCTTGTTTGTGCCAGCATATTTTGCTTTCTGCAGTCTAATATTAGCACCATATGATCAACGTCATTGTTTGACGCGATTATTTTTTCAGACCTTGAATACAAATCGACATTAATTGTGCATCCCTTTTCAATTTGCATATATTTTGGCATTAAGAAACAAGTACTCTGGATGCACAGTATTTCTCAGTAGCCAGTTAAAAAATTTCTTATGTCCTTGCCAGTTTTTTTTTTCAGGGACAAAACTCAATACAATGTTGGAAAAGGAAATTCGCCCTTTTTGACGCCATTTTCCAGGCCTTATTTGTTTGGAATTCCATGTAAAATTTATGATAAAATTTTGCAAAACTTCCAAAATGAGATTAAAATTCCACATTTTATGGAACAAAAGTGTCCCATCACATACCTTCAAGTTAATATTAAAAGGGATTTTGATGTCTAATGTCCAAAAGAATTTTTCTCAGTTACACTTAGGTTAAAAAAAAAACGTAGTTTATGAAGTTGCACCGCCTAGACATACCATTGCTCTCAAAAACATTGCTTATTTATCAAAAAATAAAATTTATGATTTGTGGTTAATGGTTCATTCTATTGATAGAAAAATGACGATAACTAGATATTTTAAAATTTATTGATGTATCTAAAGAGGTTTTAATTCTATAGTGCTACATGTAATCAACGAGCTTTTGATACCCCCTAGTATGTTGAATCTTTTTAATTTAAAATAAAACTTACTTGTTAACAACCAAATGAATGAAGCCAGTTTCAAGCACAAATAAACATTAAACACAAAATTATTCACTACTGATATTTTTCTTACAAAAACCAGGAAGTTCTCATATATCAAGTGAAATAATTTCCTTAATCGTTTTTCTTGAGTGGTATATAAAAAATAAAGACACGGAGTGAAATAATGTCCTCAGTTGCTGTCTCTTGAGTACTATATAATTACTAAAACCATTAAAAAGCTCAAAGAACACAATCATCAAAAAATTGTTGTAAAAAAGTGTCCCAAACAAATAAGAGTAAAATGGACGTGGTTTTATGTGCATTGCTTCTATAGCATTGACTTAATCACTGTGTAGATTTATGTAAAGTGGATGGATATATAATGTTCGGAATGTTCCTCCACCTGTTACGCTTTGGGGTAACCATCTCTTATCTGCAACTCCTCTTATACCACTTAACGAAATTTTATACGATTTTCACCGAATATATGTTGCTAAGTGTTGTTATGCACCTCTCATTTTACTTTTAATCTGATACGGATTTTGTGTATCTCATAACACAATATGAACGCTTCCATTCTTTCTATCGTATTTAAGGGTGTCCTTCGCTTTTCTGCACCCCCCCCCCTGAATTGAATTGAAGTATACTCTCACATTTCCTTTATTTCTTAATACCATCGTGCACCTCCTATTTTCCTTTATTTGACACTTGTTTCGGATTTCCAAGAGCAAAACTTTGCCACTATAATGATATGGGAGAGGTAGGATCTAGCTAGAGTGAGTTTGGTTCTGACAATACCTCTTGTTCTAGATTGGCAATATTCGCTATGTTCAATAATTCAACTTACTAACAGTCTTCAGTCTTGACTTAAGTCGATAAAATATGGGTTGCTACTATTCTTTCACCAAGCGTTCGCGCCTTTGAAGTGAAAGTTTTGAGTCCTTCGGATGAGACCCAGTGTCACGGTAAAGATCATTTACTGCTCAGTGTCTTTGAGTACCGAGTACAAGTTTAAATGTGAAGTCACCGGTTTTTTATAACGTCTAATTATAAGTCTTGAACAACATACACTCAATTAATCAACTTTAATCTGATGATATTACATTTATTTATAAAATACCATCAAATCTCAACTTTGATAGATTTACATTAGACAATTTAATGAAACGTTTTTCATGTAATATTTAGATTTTAAATACTGTAGAAGTACTTTTTCCGCGTGGTATTAATTTAAGCTATGTACTCCGTCAGAAATTTTCCGCGGAAATTTGTCCAATCGTTCTCAAATTATTTGTAAGAAATATCATGTGTTTAAGAAATCAGCGTTATTTTTTACCAACGGATTCAACAGAAATCGGAATTATGACCCTGCGGAAAATAATACGTCTACAGTATTTCCATCTTGAAAAAAGTATTCAATGATGTTTTTTTCTGTTTTTTAGAACATACAAAAAATCACCATGGAATTGATTTTTAAAAAATGCCTATAATATGTAGCAAGGTGAATATTTATTTTCAGAGAAAGAGAATGACAAATAAGGGGAAAAATCATATCTTAGGGTGCTAGATGATAAGATGTGGTCGCCTGTGTTCTTCGTGTCACACTGTTAGCATTATGACATAATAAAAGCAGTATCTTTAAATTGTTGAAAAAAAGTTTATTAATAAATGAATAATTATGCATTAATTTCATTACATCAATATTTTGAAAAATAAATCTCTGGGAATTTTATGATGATTATTGATTGATTTCTATGGTATCATAATATCAACTAGAGGAACTGTGAGCAATGAACTCACTAAATGATACCCCTCGTTTCCCATATGTATAAAATTGCATTGTCAATGTTTTGCTGTGAGAAACCCAAAATATGTGTCGGATAAAAAAGTAAAATAGGAGGTGCACAATGGCAATATGTAATTAAGATTTGTGAAATAATCATCTAATTTTATTGAGTTGTTTGAGAGGAGTTGCGGTTAAGAAATAGGTACCCCCAAAGCGTAACAGACAGGCGGACGGAGGGACATTCCGATTACTATATACGAAAAGCGGGAGGGGGTATAATGATATGCTATATGACGTTATTTCGTTCTGATGATTCTTTTTAAAAACTTAAAATTCGGCAGAGGGAAATTAAGAGCTGGTAATGCTGGAAATGAAACTTCAAAACTTTTTTGTTGTACTTATCGAACAAATATATCCTAGCCTCCTTTGATCTATATTTGTAATATTTGAATATTTGTAGTCCTCTGGGATTCGCAGCTAGGATAAGGCTGTCCGTAAAATAACGAACTGTTCAGACCGTACTAACTTCTCTGAACTACCAAGATATGACGTCATAATAGAATATGACGTCAAGTCACTGCATACTTGAGCTGACATGACGGGGAAAGTGTCATAATTTGTACATGGCATGTAGATTTATTTTCGGACCTTGTTGTTTAATTCAAGTGTTAGGATTGTTTTTTAAACTCCAATGTGCTGTTATAAAGTTGAACATTTGTAATTTAAATATTCCTATTCCTTTCGCTTTTCCGATACGCACATATTCAAACATTATAGAAAAATTATGTGTGAAACGCTCCCCTTACAAGTCCGTAGACAGAGTTAGAATTTAAAAATTGTGTTTATATTGGACTGGCACAAGTGATAAACAAAAACAAATTCAAGATATACTGTGTGAATCTACAAGAGAAGTATGTCCTCTAACTGAATTTTGCTGGGGATTGTATGTAGTTTCTCCATCTTTGTATAAATAGCGATGAAGAGTGGAAAATACCCCCTCTAATGTTGGTAAGTTGAAATTCTCGTAAAATATTTTCTTAACGAGTTAAAATCAAACCTGCCCCCAGTACTTTCTATGTACCAGAGATCACGATGAATTGATCTATATAACAAACTTTGCACAGTATTTTTGTTTTGCACTTGTGCCGAAGCGATTTTTGTGTAACATTTAGGAATGTCATAAATCTCCGTCACGTGATCAACACAGTCATGTGACATCACAAAAATGCTTTATTGTAATATCTGATTGAACTATTATATCAAGTTGACTGCAATTTCAAACAAGGATTATATATTGAAATTAAAATCTAGCTCAAAATAAAATGCATATTTTAAAGCATTTTAAGCCTTCGGACAGCCTTATCATAACTGCGTTAAAATCTTTCGTTCTCAAATAAAATCATCCTCTTTTATTTTTTACCACAGAACACGAAGTAGATGTAGAAATTCTCGCCGTTGTCGAAATATCAACAGGGTTAACAACCTATTACTTCCGTATAACTTAGAAAATCTGTTTTCAAGAGCTGTAATTTTTTAACATCAAGAGACAAGAGGAAGTATATAATTGTGAGGCTTTCCATAAAAACCTCATTTATCTTGAAGCTTCATAATACTTTGTTAGCTATTTATTTTTTTTACCTAATTTTGTAGAAAACGTACATTCAGAATTTTTGTCTTCCCCATTCTTATGTACAAGTCATCTATCTCAATATAAACAGAAACAATATGAGCATCGCATAAGACAGCTTTAATGTAGTATTAATTGTTACTGATATAAATGTTCGTGTATTTATTTCTGTGAAAGTTTTTGAACTAATCTATATAGAAAAAAATCTTAGGTAAATATCCTTGAAATGTAAGATTTATTCTGATAAAAAGCAGGAAAAGAGAAAAAGTGCACGCACAACAATAATAACTTCAACGATGAATTCCTGGAAACACGCCAATTAAATATCTTATGCATGTCTATTATTGGTTGTTCGGTGATTCATATCATTTGTGGATAACTCTTGATTTGCACCCTGTACCAGCAATTGTGACATCTAAATTGGACAATTTATCTATTTATATCATCCTTAGACAAATATGTGCATAATATGAAAGTCGAAAACTTGAATATTTCCATAGAATATATCCCATTTCTGATTTTAGAGAAAACAATTAAGCTAATCGTTCAGAAAAATGGGTTTTAGGTAAAGTTTGAACTTAACTATTTAACAATAAAACTGTATAGAAATCAATGCAGGTTTTTTCGTGATTTCTTTAATCGCAGAGGTAAATCAATATATATTTGAACACATGCAATCAATCAATAATCTTAAAAAAAAATTAAGACTATTTTTGTTAAAAATGTTATAATAGTATGTGTAAATTCTTAGTTTAACTATCAAAAAAAAAAAATGCTTAAACGTATTACTTTAGTAATACGTTGTTTTATGAGGAACTAATTCTCTATTATAATCACATCTGGGCGTCATTTTGTTTACAACAAATGCTTGAAAATCACAGTAGCACAATGTCGGCAGTTCTGATAAAAACTGATTTTGATGAGATTGTGCATATATTTCATAAAACCTGGTTAACAATAAAAAAAAGGGCATTAAAATATTTTCAAAGTGCATTATCATTTATCTTACTACGCAGAGAGAGTTCATTAAAAAAAATACACGAGTGTGAATTTCAAGAATTATTGAATTCCTATACGAAGAAGATCAATATTAGCTTGTTTGGCATGAATAAACAGGATTTTGCTCAAACTGCAAGCTATATCAATGCAATCGCTCTGTTTACAGATTCCATTGTGTCTTATAACGAATTTATAGTGAGCCATTTCAAATATAACTCTTAAGTTTAGTGGAATAACCTATCATATAATTTAAGTAAAGGAGAAAGTCCGAAAACTGTCCATTCTGTGAGAGAAAGAACTGTTCGAGGCCCGAAGGGCCGAGAATAGTTTTTTCTCTCACAGAATGGATAGTTTGAGGACTTTATCCTACTTAAAACATTTTCTCTATTGTTAACTTAATAAACTGTCCCAGGTGATGGTTATGTATTTGCTATGATTACGTAACACACTTGATTGTCCAGAGAGTGGGGGGTGAAAACAATAGCTGTATTGTTTAACTTAATGGACAGTGCCAGGTAAGTTTAGATTTAAATGATAGCTCACTTGATTTCTGACCACTTTCCATGTAAAGCTTCATGTGTGTAAATGTCCTCATCGGATGGAGAAAGTAATACATATTTCTCCAAAATACGGGCCAAAGGGTGGTAAATACTCTA